TTAATGGCTTTGAGATCACAGCAAAGGAATTATCATCATGGTGACAGAGGATTGAAGAGATGATCTTGCATTTAGCTTATAATACACTCTGTTATTAGTGTTAATTGTTTTGTTTTTCTTTTAGTGTGAGAGGGGTATTGAAAGATGGGGTTGTTTTTTAAGGTTTTTAAGGGGTCGGAACCTTAAAATGCATGAAATTCAAATTGGAACAATGCAAACTTGAACGTGTATGTGACCACCTTTAAAACAGGGCTTTTTTTCATCAGGCAGCAGACATTTCTTAAACATGCTGTTGCGGTCGACATATACCACATAATGTCTGGGTATTTAATAGTCTTGGGTGCTAGCTACAAAGTGATTACATGCTCTTAATGCCTGTAAATACTATGTGTGGGCATGTGCTGATTAAAATGACTGTGAGAGTTGTTTTTCTGGCAGCTTGGTATGGTCATTAATTTCAGTGGATGGATGGATGGAGCTTGTCCTAAAAGCAGGCGGTGTCAGACGCAGTTTCAAATATAGACATAGCCACTTAATAGCACCTCTCACATACACTCACATGCTCACACTTTAGAGGTCCTCACATATCATTTATAAATATATAAGTACATACATGAATCATCTAAAAACAACAGATACATTTTATCTGCCTAGATTTACAATGTGTGAACACTTTGGGAATTTCAAATCTGTTAAAATAATACAAGTGGTTATATCGGTGCCAGACACGTACTGAATGCATTTCATTTTATGAGCTTAACACAAAGGCTATAATGATCAGCGTATGAGGAGTTTACACACAATTATTTTTTTTAACTAACCAGTTTTACTCAGACCACTATCAAATATCAAATGACCAAAGTGTCAATAAGAAAAACATCTTGTAGTAATCTGTTATTACTCTTATTATTAGTAGTTTTATATAAAGTCTAGATTCTAATTTAAGATATATAAGAGTCATAATTTGAATTGTCAAAAAAGTTATAATAGATTCAGTATTTATCAATATTTTATATAAATGTTTAATAAAATATGTAATATTATATATAAATAAACTGTCATGCAGCACCCTGTATTATATAAATTATTGTTAAAATTCACCTCCCATGCAGCAGTTATGAACAGGAAAGCTAGGCAGACAAAGCAAAGCCTGATATTTATGTTTAATTCAGCAGAGGACTCAATTCAGCCTCAAGTGGCCATTCCAGGTAGTGCAGTTATTTTTTCCAGCTCTGTCATTTAAGCTTAGGATGCTCTCACAGAAAGTCTTCATGCATCTCTGCACTGTTATATGCAAATTGCTCATTGCATGTATACGACTGATTTTTACAACTTATCTTTTTGTCTCAATTTCATTTTCCTCCAGATCTCCGGAGCCTCAGTAGAGGAGACATTAGTGGGAGAGGTGATACTCTCTGTTCTTAAGGTGACGGTGACTAAGCCAGCCCTATATACGTGCCTGGCTTCCAACAGACACAATGCTGGAGCCAACACTGTCAAAGCAACTGCAAAAGTCACTGTTGCAGGTGGGAAGTTTTGATTTCCAGCTTATACTATGGTGTTACATGTTTCAAATTTGCTGCAGCCTGCTGCTATATTAGAGAAAAAATGTCTGCTTTCTATTTAGCTTCTATCTCGGTGTTTATTGTTACTGTCAGTACTACCTGCTGTTATGCTAGCTGCCAGTTATATTGGTTGTGTTTTGTGTGGTTTCAGCTGTTTGTTGCCTACCCCATTTGGTTACTACTCCTCAAACAATACCCCTGTTCTCCTTCACACACACACACACACACACACACACACACACACACACACACACACACACACACACACACACACATACACCTGTTCCCCAACAGAGCAAACTGCCCTTCCCCCTGGTTGCCCCTCAGTCTCTCCACAGTTAGTGATGACTTGCAGAGAGTAACATCATGGTTGTTTTTCTCATCCTGCTAGGACAATTTCTCATCTATCAACCATTTCTCATCACTCTGTCTCTCATCTTTTTCCCTCTTCTTCTACTTGCTCCTATTCATCCCGTGTACTCTGGATACTGCCACTTCCCAGTAGAGTGGAGGTAAGAGAAAAGATATGTGCCAGATTTGTGTGAAGTTGTCTAAGCTTTGTTTCTTTTGTTACTTCTTTTTGTATATATTACATTTGAATTGATTATAGAAAATGTTTCAGCTCATTTGACCCATGTTGAATCAGAATAATTTCACAGTACATTGCCTGCCACTATTTTTTTTAAAGTAAGCACCATAAAGGTCTCTGTGTTGCTGCTTCTATTCATTTTCCTGAACATGCCCGTATGCCAAGAAGAGAGTGGGTCTCTCAATCACCCATATGGTGTGAGTTGAATTTGAACTGTTCTGAACCTTAACACAGCTGCTGTTGCCACATCTGGACTATGTAACTGTGAAGATGGAGAGAAAGAGGGAGACAAGATGCACATAGAAGGAAGCAGAAAGAACGAGACTAAAATAGAAATAAAATAAGGAAAATAAAATGTTGGCCTCAGGGTCCTTGATGAAAAATGAAGTACATTAAGGATAGAGGGCTGTAGGTCACAGAAAGGCAGGTTTAATGGCTGCATTTATCTTGATCACTTGTGACCACATCTGGACTAGATGCACAGAGATCTGGTGAGGAAGAAAGAGAAAAAAGAAAGAAAGAAAAGAGTGAATTGATAGATTTACAGGGCACCTTTGAGTTTGATAGTTTGGCTTGAACTCTGCTGAAGCACCAACCTCCCCAAGAGGGAACATCTGGAGTCTGTAAGAGAATGCAGACAGGCAGCAGTGATGCTGGAGTGAAGGTTATCAGAGTACATGCTGTCAGAAACACAGCAGTGTGGAGCAGACAGAGATAAATGTGGATCATAGCAATGCTTGAGGACTAACAGATGAGAAAGCATTAAGAAAAGGAGGCAAACAGGGTGAAAGAGGAATACAGGGACTTTGTCCCACAAACATTCATGTTTATGCAAAATAGGTATGACTGAGCTCCAGCAAGGAAGTTGAACAGACAGGATGCAATCTAATTTAAACTTTCTCCAACCTGTTTCATGATCAACATCTGGATGATGTTAAAGAAGATATTTCAAGTGAAAGATGATTTCTTTTTACTTTTTAGTGGACACTTGCTATAAGCCAAGACAGTAAAAACAGACCACTCTCTGTACTTTTAGTATGCAACTCTTACTGGTTTTCTTTTCAATGATTTTGTTAAATTAAAATATGCAAATAACAAATACCCAAATTACACAAAGAAATATTACTAGAAAACGGTATGGAATATGGTCAAACTCCAGTTTTTGCTGCATGACTGAATCACACAAGGCATCTTTTCTATTAGAAATAACATGCCATCCCAAATACATATTAATGAATTAGGCACTAAAGTTACTTTCGCAAGTCCCTGTTCTTAGTTAGGTTTAGGCTCTTAAATCTGTTTGATGATGTGGTATTCGATGATTAGTAAAGGATCATGGTTATCGTCACTCCCCATAACGGTAGATGTTGAAAAAT